CCCCAATGTCAAATCTTCACCTTCCCAAAGGTTCTCACATCAGTTCGAGGATGGGATCTGATCTATGCAAAGGTGCCTTTAAAAAAAAGAAGTTTGAAATCCATGCACACAGAGAGAGGTTAATTACATGAGATCAAAACCCACGAGGCAAATTTCCCTTTGGAAATCTGAAGCTTGCATATTTGAGGAATAAATAAAAGATTACGAGCCCCATTTAACTGTATCATAGTGGTTCAGCGTCTCCTCATCTGAAGCAAAGCAAATTCAGGTCAGACTGTCCCAGCAGAGCATGAAACAATATTTAGTTTTATTATCTACAGATCTCAAATAAAAAGAGTCTGAGAATATATAAACAGAGGGATGATAACCAAGGGCTTGGTTTAAAGACTTCATTGCTTTCTGAAATTCCCTTTTAGCTCATCTTCTGAAACATCGTGTGCCCTGAATTTGATTGACTGATGAACGTTGTGCCTTCAAGTTGGTGTCAGCTACAAACCCACGGATAAATGTTCTTCAGGAGAATCTGTCCCTAGCAGTGGTGGGATTCAAATATGTGAACAATCGGTTCTCTGCGTGGATGCTGCTTCCAGAAGTCCATTCTGGGCCTGGGCAACAAAAAATTAGCTACCGGTTCTACCAAACTGGTGCAAATGGCTGAATCCCACCACTGGTCCCTAGCTTGGTCCTTCAGATCTTCTATCAGATCTTCTGACAGGGCACTCATCACCACTCTAATGGAGTCCAGTCGCTCTTCTCTTCCCTTCCATCTCCCCAAACATTACAGACTTCTTCAGAGCTTGATCTTTGCGTAATGCGTCCAGAATGTCAGCCTGGTCAGCAATGCTTTGAGTTAGAACGGCTGGGTTGATGCGTTTGACGATCCATTTGTTTGTTTTCTTGGCTGTCCCCGAATTTTCAGTCTTCTCAAACACCAAAGTACCAGAGGTTCAATATTCTTTCTATCCTGCACATCCAGTGCCCTGAATTCACACGGCGTGGTGGTAAATAATGACAAACCATTCCTGTATTAAGAAAAATCGCATGATAGCAAATATGGATCGTGCACTGAATTAGAGGCTAGAGACCATCCACAAGAAAGAACGCAGGTTATCAGATGCTGCAGATATCCACAATTGGTCCCACAACGTGAGCCGGTTTTAGGATTTTTTGTGCGTCCAGCCCGAAGCTTTCTTTCTTGCTCTGTGTTGCAGATCTTAACAATATTGTCTCTTTTGGTTATATTACTTCCCCTCGCTTGTGACCTAGGAAGTGGCCTTCTGATGATATTAACAGTATGATCCAAGATTTGGAGAAAACACTTCTGCCCTTGGGACTACGAGCCAAGGAAATTTGGCCAGACGGCAGAAACAGGAAAAGATTAAGCAATGACTGGCTAATTCTGTGCCCACCTATGGAGTCCTGGCACCAAACCAGAGCCTGCTAATTTGTTCGAAATGGACGAGATGGCTGCTCAAAAGGGACCCTCAAAAGTCTAGTCTTCGGGGGAAGATTCTCTTTTGTGCTGATGACTTACAAACTCTTGAAAATGGCATCCGTCAGGGCTTCAACCCTAATCCCAAATTGCATCCTTTCTTGATCAAGCTCGGAAGAGCTTGTTTCCTTGACAAAGGAGGAGGAGTCTCATTACCTCCAGGTGAGCAGTATCCCCCCTGCCAAAAAGACTTGGTCATTCTTTGGGGCAGGAGGTCAGCAGGGGAGCAGTGAGGTTGAAAGGAGTCCACATTGCCCCTATGGATGGAGTTGAGGAGATGCATAATGGGGAATTTTATTATTTTAACTGCAATGTTCCTAGCTTAGGACCAATTACTGTATAATGTTCTTTCCCACTTCAAGACGATGGGGATTCTTCTATGAGCTTCCAGCCATAGTGGGCAGAGAAGAATTCCTGCTTTGCAAGTTGCCCACCCTCAAAATGCAGCAGATGCCCACAAATTTCTTTCCTGACCAATGCTCAAGCTTCTTCCTTTTGCGTTGACTTCTCTGAACGTTGCTAGTATCCCCCATATATGTTTCCATCTGATTCCTGTGGCATCTTGCTCCCAGCAGACAGCCCTTCCTTGGATGTGCAAAATCAGACGTGTCCCTTGCATCAGTATTTGCCCTGAGAACATGGCTGGAATAGCAGCCTAAAATTGCAAGGGAAGCTGGAAAATGGCACAGATCTGTACTGTGCATAGTGGATTTTGATGAGGCTACGAGAGGGGAGGGATGGCGTGGTGGCTCGGCGGTTAAGACGCTGGGTTTGTCTGCTGGAAAGCCAGCAGCCCGGGTTCGAGACCCGAGCGCCACGCAAGGGGTGAGCTCCTGTTCTCATCTCAGCTCCTGCCAACCTAGCAGCTTGAAAGCATGCTAGCATGAGTAGATAAATAGGTACCACTTTGATGGGAAGGTGACAGTGCCCCGTGACATCATGCTGGCCACATGACCTTGGGAATGTCTTTGGATAGTGCTGGCTCAATGGCCTTGAAGCGGAGATGAGCACCGCCCCCTTTAGTCGGCAACGACTAGCAGAGTATAATCCGCAGGGACTCCTTTACCTTTTATATGAGAAGGGAGAGTCCACCTCACATTACAGTTTGAACCTGGCAGAAAAGGGTCTTATTCCATCCATTCATCATGCCCAAACAAGAGAAACCTTGACGGGCAGAAAACCCTTCCTTGGGCTGTTACACCTTATCCCAGGCTGCCTTTGCAGAGCAATATATGACATTCTCCAGAGCTTTTAAGGACATCTAGCAAACTGGCATCTCTTCTGGCCCAGACAGGTAAACCTTTGCAGGATTCGGTGCTTCTGTATCAGCCCTCCATCGGAACCACAAAGTCCGGCACAGCAGCCAAGTAATAAAATAAGCCACCAACAAGTGGGTCCGTTTGTGGCCTGCCGGATTTTGGCTGCAGAACTGTGACCTCACCGAATATTCTTGCAGCCAGCAGCAGTGCGGTAACAATCCAGATGTGGGTGATTCATCAAAGGGAAGCAGCTGTTATAGCACACAAGCCAGCCAAACCAGAGTTTCCCCTCTTGCTTTAGAGGGGATGCAGAAAGTGCCAAGACGATCTGAGCCTGCTTCAGATTTAGCACACCTGGTTTGCACTTCTATCCTCTTGGGGCTCCTCTGGGTCCCCCTTTCCTTCTGAGAAAAAAGGGAGGGAGGGAAGGGAAAAGGAGCATAGAGACAAGGAAGGAAGGAAGGAAGGAAGGAGCATAGAATCAAGTAAGGAAGGAAAGAAGGAGCATAGAATTAAGGAAGGAAGGAAGGAAGGAAGGAAGGGGGAAAGAAGGAGTATAGAAGGAGGGAAGGAAGGAAGGAAAGAAGGAAGGAAGATCAGAAGAAAGTGCGCGGCCGGAGCTCAGCGCGCGCACGCCTTTGGGTCCGGCCGCGCGGGCGCGCCCCCGTGCACCGAGCCGTCTCCGACGCCCACGCGTGGCTGGCCTTCCCCCACCTCCCCCCCCCGTCTCCCCGGCCGGGCGCGCGTCGGTGCCGAGGCGGGCGGGGGCGCGCGCGGGGGGGGCCGAAGGGGGTTGCCCCGTC